ATCGTGACTATTTATACTGCTGTTTTGCTTTGAAAGATTCCATAGTCTCATTGCTATTTGTTTCTCATTAAATTAATTTTTTAAAAATTCGATAACCCTTTAAAAACATCTTTTCCAATCATCTCAATTTCAGTGAAAACAATGTGAGGGGAGCAGCTGTCTCCTGTGTTTTTCACAAGAAAACGAAACTTGAGCCCATTTCTAGGGAACTCACAAAGTACATTCCTGTGCAAGATTGTAGATAAGGTTACCTCCTGCGCTCCACTCTGCAGGGCCCTGTGGTAGCCTGTCCCCACCAGGATCTGGTTTCCTTCAAGGCTGACCACAGCTCTTTTCCTGATAAGAATGACCATGAATGTTCAGAAGAAAGAGTCCTTGTCACTCCCCACGGCTCCTACAGCATCCAGGTTTAAGATACTCTTCTATTCCTATTATTTAAAAAGGTCCTAAGGAACCAAACTTTTACTACAAGAATGTCTGCATCCCTCTTGAAGCCTCAGCTGCTAGGGTGCCACTGCCCACCCAGGATGCCTGCCTCATGCATAAGCCTGGAGCTTCTCCTGGCCCTGCATTCAGGCTTTAGCACAGAAGTCCAGCTGAGTGGAGTGCAACTAATGAAGTCCTCCTATTTCCTAGGGTTTTCTCCACTGTTTTACACATGAGACTCTAGAATTTGCATTCTCTCTTCAAATTATAATGTTACCCATTTTTACAGAGGACAAACTCTCTGTTGTGCAGCAAGTTTACCCAAAGTGCAGCTTGAAGAAATTATTCAGCTCCTCATAAAAATTTAGTACTTCCTTCTTGATTAGAAGCTCAGGTTTGGGGCTCTCTTATTTTCATTTCTTATATGATAATGTCAATGTGGGGTTTTTTTGCCCTTACATATTTGGTAATGTTGTGTACTGCAACAGTAGATGTGAATGAATTATGGGCTCTTATCTATGTTTATTGGCCCAGATCTTGCACCACTCAAATGCAGGAGTTTGTGGGAAAAATCAGGTAGGTAGACAAGTATGTTATGTCAGTGAAGATAAAGACAGATGGAATTTACAGTCACAGATGAAATGAGGCAGGAGTGAGACTGATGAGAGCAAGCATGAAATAGCCCCACTCCTGCACTGAATGTAGAAGAGAAAGTAGACCTAGGTGAAAACAGTGAAGAGGCCTAAAAACAGGAAATTGTGAGTGAGGAGACCCATAAGCCTGAAGGGGAAAAGCAAACTAGGACATTTGTTCTACATTTAAAACTGTTGTCCTGTACCTTCAAGAGGGAACCATGTAATAAACAAAATGATAAAGCTCAAAACCTGAAGCCTCTCATTAAGAAACCACAAAATTTTCAGGACATGATCAATTCCTTCAAAACACTTTTGAGTACCTTTGTTCACCAAGGAGAATGTTCTGTCTGTAAATACAGATAAAGTTGAAAGAGAAGATGAAAAGGCTAGAGACTCATCCACATGGCATAAGTGTTGCAGAATTTTGAAGAGGTTAGAGGAAACCCTGAGAAATAGGAGGACCTCATTAAGTGCACCCCATTCAGCTGGACTTTGGTCCCACACCTGAGTGCAGGACCAGGGCAAGGGTCCAGGTTTATACAGAGCTGGTGTTTCTTTGTATTGTTGTTGTTCACTAGCACACAAACATCTGAGGTTTCAGGGAGAAGCAGGTATTCCTGTAGTCAAAGTTTGGTACCTTAGACATTTTTCATCCTGTGGGGACAGGAGGAGGTTACAAGCCTGGGTGTTGAAAATGTCATCAGGAGTTACATACAGGACTTTTTCCTCAGAACCATAAGGTCACTTTTTTCAGGAACAAGCCTGAGGTCA